CAGATGTTAGCTCAGGGCTAATCTTCCTCACGGAAAAAAAAGCACTAACACCAGATGTCTGCCCCCACCTGGAGACCAGCCCCCTATATAACTGGCCTGTAGTCTTTGTCCTATAACATGGTTCTTTTGGACATTAGTTGGCCATCTTCCACCTTGCTAACAAGCTGTAATAAAGTCCTTTCTCTCCTACTGCCTTGCCTCTTGACTATTGGCATGTCTTGTGGTGGGCAGGTGACCCCCCCCACACCCCCACACTGGGCAGTAACGCATTCACTTCTCTCCCCATTTGGTTTGGATTCCATGTTCCATCACGTTGCTCACTCTTGCTAATCTCCCAAATTCCCTTGTTCCTTTGTTCTTTCTCACACAGTCTAGCCTCCACAGTCCTGGATAAACCCAAGTCTGCACTTGCCCAGTGCCTGGACCCCAGGAACTGAGTGACCATTGGAGAAAATCAAACAACCGGGCAAATTCAGGGACACTAATTTCACCTGGCCCTCAGGACTGCCTGGCACACCCTGTTTCCCTAGTCCCTTGCCCTCCAACACTCATCAATATTATTTCAAACCTTGCTCCCTATCCTCAAGATGCCAATTTCCTTACCTCCCCCATCACTCTCAGAAAATGACCTCTCCTTCATAGGGAAAAGCTCAACCTTTAGAGGAAAACTTCCTCAACTTATTGTCTTGAAACTTATAAACTTATTTATGTCCAAAGTTATTTTCCCTCTCTTCTTCCTGTTAAAATGTAAAGGTTGTCTCCTGTGCTCTGGATCCCATCCCAGCTTATTCAGAATGGTGGTAATTACAACAAACAATATCCAACTTACAGTAGCCTAACCAATGAGGATGGCCATTATCTCACAAGACAAGACTTGTGTCATCATAGACACAAGTGCTTTCCATATTCTATTCTATCATTCTCAGAATGTTGGTACTGTTGTTCCTCATGGTGACAAGATAGCTGCAGCAGTACCAGGCATCATACGCACACAACCACATCCAGCAAAGAAGGGTTGTGCTTTCTCCCATGTGTCTCTTTTTATTAGGAAAACTTCTAGAAGTGCTCAGTCCCCCTTCCTACAAGGTCCTACTGGCTGCAAGGGGACATTGAAAAAACAAGTATTTAGGGGCCAGCCCCATGGCTGAGTAGTTAAGTTCACATGCTCCACTTTGGCAGCCGAGGGTTTCCCAGTTCAGATCCTGGGCACGGACCTACACACTGCTCATCAAGCCATGTTGTGGCAGTGTCCCGCATAAAAGAACTAGAATGACCTGCAACTAGGATATACAACTGTGTACTAGGGCTTTGGGGAGGGAAAAAAAAGAGGAAGATTGGCAACAGATATTAGCTCAGGGCCAATCTTCAAAAAAAAAGAGAAAAAAATATCTAGCAGTTTCCTTTCTCAGTGGGGAAGCTCTGCCAGCAAGGAATAATGGGCATCATAGAAGAATGATTGTGGGGTGGCTATTAGTAGAACTGGCCACGTATCTCACCTTTCCCCCCATCCTCATGGAGGGTCTCCTTTTTTCCTGTGTATTCCATCTCTCCCAAACTAGCTCTCCTTGCCCTCAGTAATTAACTGTGTAAAAGTCTCTCCAATCTTTAAAAAGGCTGGCTTTCCCAGTACAAATAATGTCCTTTCTACATCCTGCCCTTTACACTTACTGACACCCCTTCCTTATCTCCCCTTTCTTCAACCCATTGCCATCTGACTTTCACACAGAAGATCCCACCAAAACCCCTCTTGCCAAGTTGATAATCACCTCTATGTTGCTAAAAACAGTGGACATTTAAAAATCTTATTATTTTGATGCAACAGCAGCATTGAACATGGCTCCTGCTTCTTTCTTCTCAAAACTCTCTAACCTTGGCTTCTTTGGAACTACACTCTCCCATTTTCCTCCACACACAGTCCCCTCCTACCTTTCTTGAGTTTCCTTTACTGGCTTATACTTTTCTATACAACGCTGTAGATGTTGGAGGTCTTAAAACATCAGTCCTATACTCTTGTCTCACCTCACTTTGCATACTCCATAAGTGGTAGCATCCTCCAGAGCCTCAATTATCCTCTGTATGTAGAGAAATCTCAAATTCCTATCTCTAGGTAAGAACTGTTTTCTGAGCTCCAAACCAATATCTACTTGCCTTCTTAACGTCTCCGCTCTAATATCTCTCCAGCTCTCCAAACACACATCTGATATTGAACTCACCTCATGCACTCCTCCCCTCCAGCCTGCTCTTCCTTCAATGTTCCCTATCTCAGTATCACCTTCTACACAATTTCTCAAGACAGAAACCCAAGATCTCTTCTTGACTCCTTCCTCAAATTCCAAATCTAAACAATCAACAAAATCTATTGGGTCTGCTTCCAAAATATCAAAAGTATCCACTTCTGCATCTCCCTTCATGGACAACAGCCTCTTAACCAGTCTCTTCACATGCACCATTTCACTTCCAATCCAATCCATGGACATTACAACATAGCTGCATACTAAAAGCACAAATCTAGGGGCTGGCCCAGTGGTGTAGCGGTTAAGTTTGTGTGCTCTGCTTCTGTAGCTGGCAGTCCACTGGTTCGGATCCTGGGCCTAGACCTACGCGCTACTTATCAAGCCATGCTGTGGCAGGTGTCCCATATATAAAGTAGAGGAAGATGGGCATGGATGTTAGCTCAGGGCCAGTCTTCCTCAAAGAAACAAAAACAATACAACATAAAAACTCAACTCTAACACGTAACTCCTCTGTTTAAAATTCTTCAACGGCTCCCTACATTCTTAGAAAAATGTCTGAGGGGGCTGGCCCTGTGGCTGAGTGGTTAAGTCCGCGCGCTCTGCTTCGGCGGCCCAGGACTTTGCTGATTCGGATTCTGGGTGCAGACATGGCACCGCTCATCAAGCCATGCTGAGGCGGCGTGCCACATAGCACAACCGAAGGCACTCACAACTAAAATATACAGCTATGTACTGGGGGGCTATGGGGAGAAGAAAGAAGAAGGAGAAGGAGACGGAGACGGAGACGAAGACAAAGACGAAGACGAAGACGAAGAAAAAGATTGGCAACAGTTGTTAGCTCAGGTGCCAATATTAAAAAAAAAAATTCTGAAATCTTTAACATGACTTCCAAGGCGCTCTCTGATCTAATCCTTGCCTGTCTTTCCAGCCTCATTTGTACTACACTCCCCTTTCTATGTTCTAGCCACAATGGACATTTTTCAGTTCTTCAAGTGTACTGTTCTAACTTGCTTCAGAGCCTTCACACTGCTGTTTCCTCTACCTAGAATAGTCTTCTCTTTCACCTAGCTAGATTTCTCCTGACATGTCATTTTCTCAGGAAGGGCTTTTCTTTCTTTTTTTTAAAGATTGGCACCTGAGCTAACCTCTGTTGCCAATCTTCTTTTTTTTTTCTTCTTCTTCCCAAAGCCCCCCAGTACATGGTTGTATATTCTAGCTGTGAGCACCTCTGGTTGTGCTATGTGAGATGCTGCCTCAGCATGGCTTGGTGAGCGGTGCCATATCTGCGCCCAGGATCCGAACTGGTGAAACGCTGGGCCCCAGAAGGAGAGCGTGAGAACTTAACCACTCAGCCATGGGGCCGGCCCCAGGAAGGGCTTTTCTAACCCTGCTATCCATGTTTGGTCACATCATCACACTTCTGAAGCCCTCAGAATTTCCCCTTTTGTGACATTCATCACGGCTCACAATCACTTGTTCAATGTCTGCCTTCCTCGCCTTACCACTGCCAGGTACAATGTCTAGCTCATAGTAGACGAGCAGTAAACATTTGATGAATGAACAAAAGGCTATGAATAATTCTTATAATACTTAACTCCAACATTAGGAATAATTAAAGACATTGCTCTACTGAAAGAATTTATGGGTTGATTGAATTTTAAGAAATGTATTTAAAGTTGATGTTGAGGGCTGGCCTGGTTGCATAGCGGTTAAGTCTGTGTTCTCCACTTCAGTGGCCCAGGGTTTGCTGGTTTGGATCCTGGGCACAGACCCACGCACTGCTTATCAAGCCATGCGGTGGCAGCAGCCCACACATAAAGTGGAGGAAGATGGTTACAGATGTTAGCTCAGGGCCAACCTTCCTCAACAAAATAAAAAATAAAGTTGATGTTGAAGATCAGCTCTTAAGTCTTCCTGAGGCATGGTGTCCTATATACACAGCAACTGTCTGTAATCAGCGTTATGTTTCAGTTTATAATAACACTATAGGAGAGACCTGATTAGAAAAAAGTAAATAAAAATTGGAGTGCAATCTGTTAGCTATTTTTTGGTTAAATATTTGTAGGAAAGTGGTATTTTCTGATGTAGCACTTCCTCAGTCCTGCAAATTGTCAAATGGCTGTACTGCTGGAATGGAAATTTAATTGTTGTAGGTTGTCTAACAGCAAATGTAACTTTAAATAAACCAGACAAGCCTTTAGTAATAGTTATTAGAGACCACGTAATTTCATGAAAGTATTAAATATGGATCAGTTTTCATTTTACTGGCAACCAACCACAAGTGCCAGTCTTGATTATACAACATGCTTGCATAAAACTGTAAACAAAATCATTCTTCATCTCTTTTGTTTACCATGGAAAGTAGCTGGAAAATAAATCATTATCTATTCTCCGCTTTTGAGTTACTTTAGAGGGCAGCTGTGGCAATGACATAGCTAAGCGTTTGAGGTTTTGGAACGACTAGGACCAATGACTAGAAAATTGCTTAAAGCCTGCCTTCTACCAATACCTCCCTCAGCTACATGTGCTGTATGGCACCACAGAAGGGGACTGTTGTGATCTTTACCCTCTCTTTTCTTCAAGGTTGGGCTGATAAATTAAGTTCAATAGAAATCAAAGCCTTGCAGTAAATCCCCACAAAGCCCATTTACTTCCATACCGACAGACACTCAACCCTATCACACAATGGCCACTCATCATAATAAAGAATTACATCGTGCCCCATTAAGACAGGGTTCCACTCAGAGCAGGGATGAGTTCCTCCACCTTTAAGGTCTCAGTGAGGTCGAGGATGGCATCTCTCGGTTAGTGAGCGCCACATCTTCTCTTCCCCTTTATAGATTGCGAAGTGGCTCTCACTGCTGACCCTCTTTTGCCGTGTCCCGGAAACCACAGTTACATTTTCCACAATTATGAAGGCCAACAAGCCTCAGACAACTACAATTCCCGTCATGCCTCATGAAGGTACTGCCAACACGCCTTAGCGGTTAGTCATCCTTCCCACTGCCTCCTTCCACTTCCGGGACTGCAGGGCCTGAGCCCCAGCGGGCGCGCGCACGCACCGATTTGCCAACGAGACAAGGGTCTCGGGCGCGGCGCGGACGGCGACGTGTGGCGTCACGTGACGCGGGGCGCGCCTCGCTCGCGCGCTTGCGCGTGTCCCAGGGGGCCGTTGACGGGCTTGCGCGCTAGTGCAGAGCCAGAGGCGGGGGGCGGACCGGCCGGGGCTGCGGGGGCCGCGGGGCCCTACGAAGGGGAGGGCGGGGCCACCTTCGGGACCGCAGCGACAACACCCGGAGCGAGCGCCTGGGCCCGAGAGGAGCGATGCTGTGGTTCCAGGGCGCCATTCCGGCCGCCATTGCGTCGGCCAAAAGGAGCGGCTCGGTCTTCGTGGTGTTCGTGGCAGGTGAAGGGGCGAGGGCCTGAGATGTGGCCGGGACACCCCCTTCGGCCTCCCTCCAACCCCAGCCTTTCCTCCGTGCCCCGAGAGCCCCGGCCTTCCCCTCCTTGGCTTCTCAGCGCCTCCCGCGTCTGTTTGGGGCACACCGGGCCTGGCCCCACCACCCGCTTCTCCCGGCACCCGGACCGGAGGCGCGTCTCGGCCTCGCCCCCAAAGCCCGCTGGGCCCCGTCGACACCTCTGCGCGGGCGACGGGACGCGTCAGGCAGGCCCGCGCCTCCCCCCGCGCTGGAGGCGTTGGCGCAGACAGACCCCCACGGCCCTCCCCGGGTGCCCCCTTTCGCGCTCTGTCCCTGAGGACCCCCTTCCGGATGTCTTAACGCCCGTGTGGTTCCTGGTGCTTAGGTGGGCATATGGACAGGCTATTAGACAGGCGGTTGGGCTCGTAATTAGTTGTGGACAGTCAGGAAGAAAGCTGTGTCATCGGTAAGCAACAAAGAGAAACCATCTGATGGTCACGGTTACTAGGGTTCCTGTGTCCCTGAAACGCTAACTCTGGCTTTATATAGGTTTGATTTTTTTTTTTTTTTTTGATAGCGGGTGGTGAGTCTAATGTGGCATAACTGCTTTCTTGCAAATTGATTTTGTAACCATTCGATTAGAAGCAGACGTTCAGTCTTTGGTTCTTTTTGTTGTCTTCCTAGTCTAATATCCATGGTTTCGAGGACGTGTACTAGCTCATTTACCCTGTGTTGCTCTGAGTTATTTGGCTCCGTATTTTATTACTCCCTATTTTATTATTGAGATCTAGATTTACAGTAAACCCATGTCCCTGTGGTTTGGATGATTCTCAATACATGAACCAAATTAGTGTTTGTGAGTACTGTTAATTTTAGGTGTATTATTTCAACGATTTGTGTTGAATAACGGTTTACTCATTATTGACTCGTGATTCTTGCGAGACTAGATAATAGCTGGGTAACTTTACGCACTGCAGTGAAGAACAAGTTCCTGAAATATGTTTCACTTAACATTAAATTTGAAATTTATAATTGTTATGCTGAATTTTTAGCCCAATAAGGTTAATTAGAAGAGGTTGAGTAGTGTAGATTCTTTATGCTGTTTTAGCGATATATTTCACATAAATAAATAACTGACGTAATCCTGTAGGGAAAAAAAGTGGATTGAAGAGAAAAGGAAAACTAAGTGATAATTACTATGGTTGTTAAGAGTACAATAATAGTTTTATGACATTTTAAGTTATTTTTTCACGTAAAATCTCAATTGATCCTTGCGGTAGGTAGAACAGGTTTTATTATTCCTATTTTATAGACAGGGAAACTTACGTCCATAATGGTTAAGTAATATGCATCAGGGTCACAGAAAGGATTTACATTTTGTCCTGACAAATTTTCTTTAGCAGCTTCAAAAAGTGTCCTTTTGGTTTCTTAAGAAAAAACTGAACAATTGTAGACTTTATGTAATTATTGAAATTGGTGTGGAAATCAGGAAATCTATAATTATGCTAGTCATATTTTTAAACAAAAAACACATTTGATGGTGTCCAAATGTTCCTGGAAGGCACTCTTGGGCTAATGAGTTAATTCGAGTGAAGAAATGCTAGATTTAATTAGGAAACATTAGGAAACCCATTTGGAAAGAGTAGTGCTAATTATTACAATAGTAAAATAAAGTTACAAGTCTTTGGGGGTTTGTGTGGATATATATATTCTTCAATTAACTTTTTACAGATGAACACGTATTACATGCTTTTAGAATATTGACGACTTTGGTGAATGTGTCCAGGTAGACTGTTAGCAGTCTGTCAAAGGAGTGTGTCCCTTGACCTGTTCGTAATACTTTCTAGAGCTTTAGGAAGTTAATCTCCAGGGCTAGGAAGGATTAGTGTCACTCCAGGGATGTGTAGACAGGGGAGTTATGAAACGACAACACTTACAGGTTGTCTAGAGCATTGTTCATAACTTTTAAGAATACGGCTAGAACTCGTGATTTTCATAGATCTGAGACTTCAACAGGAAGATATCAACTTAGTGGAAAATTTAAGAGATTTTTATAGCTGGAAGGAGTGGTCTTTAAGGATATACTTTGGTTCATATAACTGCTCAAGCAGGAAACATTTTAGGTGAGTTGTTTAATATTAGTGAGTTTTTCATGAATGAATTGAGGAATATCTTAGGATTGATGTTAGGAGACTGGAGAGATGACTGTTAGTTCAGCCAACAAATTCACAAGAATTTTCAAAGTATTATAGCTATGTAAATTGAAAGAAAGAAAACTGAGGAAATTTGGATCGTGTTCTTGGGAAGGAAGAATAATCTGATGAGAATCCTAAACCAAAGGTTTCAGTTCCCTGACTAGTGTTGCTAGTGGGCTAAAATTTCCTTGACAGACACTGTTTACTACTTTTTTTGGTTAAAATAGACCACAAAAGCCTTGAGCTTGTATCAGTGGAGGTTTTCTAGGTTGGAATTACTGGCTGTTCTAGGGTCTGCACCTCTTTGCTTCTGAGTTTGTACTGTTCTCTTTAAGTGCTTTTGCTTTGCCTATTGCTGATGCTACCAAAGATATGTTTTCTCCTAAAACTCTGAGGCATGCCTGACTCCATAGCATAGGTTGTAATTTGATTAAAAATAAGAAACTAAAGATACTGAATTTGGCAAGTAATAATCCCACTCAGTAGTGTTAAGATGGCTCACATTGAGCCTTACACCTCTGTTAGTCAAGGAGCTGCTGCTGCTGCCACTAGGCTAAGTCACGGGCAGACGTTACTAATGGGGATGTGACATTTGGTACTCCAACCACATGGTACAACATAGGTGAGGGAGTGAAAAGCATCAGCCTTAGAAGTAGCAGATCCATATTTTCAGCTACCTACTTGACATCCCTGCTTGGATGCCTCAGGATTCTTCAGCCTAAAAGTATATTTACTGCCTGAACCTGTTTTTCTCCCCCAGTGTTCTGCATCTAGGTAAATGGCACCACCTTACACCCATTTGGATAAACCTCAAGCGTGGGTGTCATTTTTGACTCTTAACTCTTCATTCTCAACTTATACTCCCTATTGTTCATGATACTCCCAACCACACAGGCCTTTCCCTACACCTAAATTTCTTTTGCTTAGCAGACTCTTCTGGCTCTTGACGTGGCTCACCTCTTTCATCTTTTAGGTCTTACCTTAAATATCACCTCAGACGGGTCCTCCCTGACCAATCTAAAGAGGCCTCTTATTTTCTCTCATAGCTCTGTTCTTTTTTTTTTTTTGAGGAAGACTAGCCCTGAGCTAAGTACTGCCAATCCTCCTCTTTTTGCTGAGGAAGACTGGCCCTGAGCTAACATCCAGGCCCATCTTCCTCTACTTTATATGTGGGATGCCTACCACAGCATGGCTTTTGCCAAGCAGTGCCATGTCCACACCCGGGATCTGAACAGGCAAACCCCAGGTTGCTGAGAAGTGGAACGTGGGAACTTAACCTCTGTGCCACTGGGCCGGCCCCACTGTTCTTTTTTTTTTTTTTTTTTACAGCATTATTATTGTAATTGTTTATAGTTGCTTACTAAACAAGTGCATTTTTTTGTACCATTAGATTTTAAGCTCCACTGAAGGCAGACAATGTCTCATTTGTTTTATATTTACAATTGGCTCTCCTTATCCGCAGATGGAAAACTCATGGATGTGGCTGGAGGGCAACAGACGGGACAGATGGGACTGTATTCATTATACTAGGTCATTTTATATAAGCAACTTGAGCACTTGTGGATTTTGGTATCCATAGGGGTTCTTGCAGCCAATCCCCCTGCAGATTTTGAGGGATGACTATAGTTTATAGCCCAGTGCCTAGCACAAAGTAAATAGGGAATAAAATAGTGAATGTATGAAAGAAAGAATGAATAAAAAGGATTCCTTATGCCTCACAGCCTTCTCTAAGAAGTGTTTGTAGTAAGAACATTCCCATATAGCTGTTTTCTCTGTTGATAATTTTGTCATTTACTTGGAATTTTGCAGCTCTCCTCACCCAGTAGTGTCTGAAGACGTGCTCAGATCTCACTCTGCAAATGATAGTTTTGCCGTCTGCTTCTTCACTATCTAGGAGTCTGCTAATGAGCATTCTTTTTGGTCTTGGTCTGTGGGTGCATTCTAGTCCTTGTTTACTTTCCCGTGGCCAGATTTCTCAAGCCCCTATTCCTGATATTCCTGGATCTTGTCTTACACAAAATATACTCGAAGGTGCAGCATTAGTCAAGTATTGTAGGCATGTGAAGGTACTTATTATACCAGAAATTTAGCTGTTCATTCTACAAAATGCTTGTAGAGAGCCTCCTATATACCAGGTACTTACTTACTGTATGCCAGGTTCTGTTGTAAACATTTGAGTTATGTTAATAAATAAAAAGGAAAACAATCCTTGCCCTCATGAAGCCTGCATTCTGATGGAGGAAGACAAACAACAAACAGTAACCATAATAAGTAAAACAGTCTATTA